TTTTCAAAAATAAGATATTTTTAATTAGATACAGATTATAATTAATATATTATATATAATTACAAATTATATTTTAATTTCATCCATATTAATTTCATTACATATCAAACCCTAAACTCACTTCTCCCCCCTACCCCCCGTCTCTCCCCCTCTCTCTGACCGGCGACCTCCACCAGTGGCGCACAGATCGCCGGCGACTACCAACCCACAGCCACAACCCGCTGCCTTCCTCTCTCTCTACATTTCTTCCCCAACCCCGCTCTCTCTCTCTACCTTCGTTCTCTCTCCCCATTACCCACCGGCAGCCGCGGCGATGATGCGCCTGGAGAGAGTCGTCGCTGCAGCCACGATAAGAAAGTTGTCGCCGCTGCGATCTGAGCGGCGATGGCGTCAGGTGCGAGGTCGCGAACGCAGAACTTGATTTCTGCCAACCCAGGTGTCGTCCGGCCAAACCAAGGTGGTCTCTGCTGCTACAACTTTCAATTCTACCAACAATCATTCAATTAACACCGGTATGACCATGGGTAATCCATCAATTGCATCAATTATCACTCCAAATGTTGAATTGAACATTGCATCTCTTAACAAATAGAGAGAGGGATAGCATTGTGTTGAACATTTGATAGGAAAGATGTGTAAAAAAGAAGTAAAGGCTACCGCCCACTTAGATTTTTTGACATGATTACACGTGAAATTAAGCGGTAGCATTTGTTAGGGATGATTGAGACTGTTCAAGATATATTTAGTAAAAGTTACTCAACAATATTATGTCCCAGCTTGATCGCCATTATTTTGAGAAAATAGAGTTTAAAATAGTGATTTTATAGAAAATATATAGTGATGAAGGTGGCGGTGGCGGTGACGGACCGCNGGCTTCCTAGGCTTAAAACCATGAACAACTTCAAATGGACTCATACCTAATGACCTATTTTAGGAACTGTTATATGCAATTTGAGCTGTAGGAAGAATCAAATCTCAATTTCTAAGATTTTCCTGGATTAGTCTTCTTAATAAATTACCAAGACTACAATTAACCACTTCTATTTGATCGTCAGTCTACGGGTGATAGGCAATAGAAAATTTCAATTTCGTACTAAGCTTTGCCACAACGTTTTTCAAAAGTGACTAATGAACCGAACATCCTTATATGACACCATAGCTTTAGGAAGACCATATAATTTGACAATTTCATTAAAGTGTAACGTGGCAACCTTGGACGCATCGGAGATTTTACTACAAGGGATAAAATGAGCCATTTTCGAGAAACGATCGACTACCACAAAAATAGAATCATGCTTCTTCGAGGTACGTGGAAGTTTTAGCACAAAATTCATACTCACATCTTGCCAAGGGCAATCGGGAATGGGAGGAGGTGTGTATAGACCAGTGTTTTGTCTCTTCTGTTTGGCCAACGACAGGTGTTACAAGTACTATCTTAGCCACATCTTTCTTTAAACTAGGCCAATAGAATTGACGTTTAATCTCCTCTATGGTCTTATCACGGCCAAAGTAATCGGCCAAGCCCCCCACATGAATTTTCCATACTATGAAGTCCCGCACTGTGTATAGAGATCAATAAACAACTCGATTAAGAACTGAAAATAACAACCTGAGCATTTAAATTTAAATTTTTTTATTTTTTGGGATTATGTAAATCCAATTAAGGCAAGCTAATAATGTTGATATATGTAAAATAGCAAAGCAAGGGTCAAATACTCGTTAGCAACTTAACCACGTACAATAAGTAGGATAAAAGTGGCAATATAACAAGGTTAGGGATTTAGGGACGTGAATTATAGGTAAAGATTAGAATAACAGCAGCAAAAAAATTTAATTGATGCAATTTTAAAACGAAATAGTAATGTAAACTAGAAATAAAGAAGTAGTAGCTTTCCTTTTGTTCGTTGAAGTAACCGAGCACCACCAAGTAACTAAGAACCAAAGAGACAATAGCTCCCCATTTTGTTCGTTGAAGTAATTGAACCGATCAGCAGGTCAAAGAGATGTACTTACAAAAAATGTTAGAAAATACTTTTTTTTTTCACACTTTTTTTTAAAAACAAAAGCAAATTACATATATAATAAAAGTAGGGGCCCAAACTGAGGTCCAAATTACCAATCAAACTATACTTATACACAGATAAAACTGAGGCCCAAATATGGAAGTCTATATAATAAAAGTAGGGGCCCAAACTAAGGCCCAAATTACCAATCACACTTTAGGCCCAAATTTGACTATAGCTGCACTCTATACCAATTACACTTTAGGCCCAAATTCGATTATAGCTAACTGTGAGAAAGCGGCTGCCGATAGGAGTGGGGCTGTTGGCGTTCTCGATTTCTACCGTCGCGCCGACATGGGTAATTTTTGTAAGAGACAGGGTGGTGGCGCTGAATTGATATTTGGCGGTGGTCCGACTGAATTTACAGTAGCAGCTGGAAAAGGTGTAAGTTAACAGGCAATGGTAGTTGCGGTGGAATGAATTTAAGATGATGATTTTGGTTCGTGTTTGGGGTTTCTGTGTATGGTGCTGTTTGCAGGAATAATAAGTGCAGATGATGGAGGGCTTTGCGTGGAGTGTGGCTACTCGAGGTATTTAGTGTGGCTGCTGGAGGTATATAGTGGTGGGTTTGGCCGATTGTCATTTCATTCGAGAGCAGGTCGATTGTGATTGAGGGTTTTATTGGTTGAGGGGTAGCAGCGGCAGTGGATGGTGGTTGTAGAGGTTTATTTTGTATGTGAATGTTGCTGGAAATCTTGGAACGCGCTGAGGTTTTTCGCTGAGTTGCAAGGAAACTTACAGCAAATACAGGGTAGCGGCCGGTGACTGTGACTTTATGTTTTGTTTGGCTGTTGGATGATATCTGGTGGCTATTGTTTTGTTGATTTGGAGTCGAAAACCCCTGTTATGTCTTCATAGATTAGAAGTAACAAGGAAACAGTATGCAAATTAAACCAAGAAACCAGGTTTTGGCTCTGATACCAATTTTATGTAGAATCAGTTCAAAGCATTTAACATATAACCAAATTATGAACTTATAAGCAGTAGAAGAAAACAGAAGAAGAACAGTGGAAGAAGCCGGCAGAAGAAGAGAAGAAATCAGGGGAAAAGAGAAAACATTGGTAGCCGCCAATCGAAATTTTATCAATTCATTAACTGATCCAACTACAATGAAAATATCCAATAAATAATAAAAACATAACCTACTAGTGAAGGAGTTGGGCCAACCTACTACTACAATCTTAATAATAAAAAACATAACTAATAAAAATCGACGACAAGCCCAATAATAAAAAAACATAAATAATAAATCCAAATAACAATAAAAAAATAAATCTCGATGATGTCCGCACCATATTCATTACAGGAAAAGTATCTCGCGTCCTCGAAGCTTGTTGAATGGAAGCAATATACATAGACAATTTTATTCACAAGATAGTTCGTGTTGGTCACGTGATTTATTTTCCTTTTGTTTTTGCCATTTATCCTCTTTGCTTCAATGGTAAATACCATCTAATGAAAGATGTATAAGTTCTGTCAGTAAAATCAAGCTTTCTGCTCAAGCGTCTAATTTAGAAGCATATTGAGGAAAAATGAATTTTTATGATTTCTAGGAAATCTTCCTGGGTATCTAAACTATTAAGTAAAGAATAGAAGTTTCTTTCTCCCAGTTATGCCACATATCGAATATGCAAAAATTCACTTCATAGACCATTTTGTTTATCAGGTGGGTCCAATAATGTATCGCAGCAAAACCATTTTTGAGGATGCAACTCCTGAGCTGGTCAGAGATTTTTTTTGGGATGATGAGTTTCGGCCTAAATGGGATCCTATGCTTGCTTACTTCAAAATATTAGAAGAATGCCCTCATACAGGGACCCTGGTAGTCCACTGGATTAAAAAGGTTTGTGAAATAGAAGCTGCAATTGCGTATCACTGGACTGATGATTGTATCACTTGTAACAATAGTTTCCCAATTGATGATATCTTGACTATTCCTGCCTATGCAGTTCCCTTTTTTCTGCAGTGATCGAGAGTATATTATTGGTAGAAGAATATGGGAAGCAGGAAGAAATTATTATTGTGTGACTAAGGTATGATCCTATGAATTGAATAGGACAAATAGTCAGTATTTATATTTGTTTGTCTTTTCAGTCTCTCATTTGGTGTTTCTTTCAAGTTTTCCTTTTTTTTTTTTTTTTTTCCGTTT